TGGTACAACTTGGTGCTGGCCGCGGGCGAGCTCAACTGGCTCATCTACGTCTTCAACGACAGCTTCAGCTTCATCTCGCAAGAGTTCACCTCGACGTATGCGCTCCTCAGCTCGCTCTCGACGTGGTTTATCATGATTGTCTGGACCGCGATCGAGCCCTGTGTGCACGTGGCCTACACGGACCGGCGCTGTGTGGCGATTGACATGGATGTTGGCTTGCGCTGCCACAGCGCGTTTGTGGAAGTCGGCTTTGTCAACCGGATTAGCATCTCGGTGCTCATTTGCATCCTCGCGATCATTTCGTGCTTTCTGTTTGAAAAACATGTGCTCAAGAGAGGCTTGTCGATCGACGTCCCGTCCCTCTTGCTCTCTGCGCCGGCAAAGTACATGCTCATTCTGGATGACTGGTCGCACAAAGGAGTGCTCTTTGTGGACAAACCGTCGGCGCTCATGGCCGGTATCATCTCGATCGAGCACGCTGGTGGCATTTACCTCTTTGATATCAAAAAGTGGCGCATGTATGTGCTCCACCGCGCGCCACATGACGCAGAGACGCCCAGCCGCTTCTTCCACGCGATTCCGATGCTCGAGTAGAGCTCTTGCAACGGTGGTTTTGTTTGTTTATCGTCGTGTCGAGCTACAATATCGTCTTTATACACTGTTAATGGATGGATCTCTCCGTGCGCAGCTCACTCCCAACGACCAAGTACTGGTGCCAACTCCCACGCATTCAGGCGTAGCACTACGTATGCGAACTCTTTTTAAGGAAGATAACGCGGAACACGTTGATATATACATACACTGTTAATGGATCTCTGACCTCTGGTCTCGTGCAACGACGCGACGCGTCGAGTCCGTTTTGAAGTCCGAGTTGCTTTACTCTAAATGCACACAATAAAATAAAATGCACACAATAAAATAAAATGCATGTCGTGTGTTTGTGTGTGTGGGAGCGTGGTGTGTGGGAAACGGTGTGGGAAATAGAGTTCAGATACAGGAAATCGCCCAACTAGGATCCACAGGACGAGGATATATCCTGATTTGGACCAAGCAGCAACACACCAACTCGTTTCTGGGCGTCCTGCTCGCAAACGAAAGACAGAGCCAGCCCATCGACAATTGAGGTATGGAGAGGTAGGGGCGGTCGCAGTGACGCGTGGGTATGTCCTTAAGTTTCACGTCGACTTCGTTTAACGTGTTTGTACCTGCCGTTAAACCGTTAAACCCATTTGCCCGGTAGCCGGATACTCCCGAGCGCGTTCGATTGCGTTCGGGTTGTGTATCCGGACGGAATAGAAACGAAGTTCGGGTCCATGGCGAACCGGGACGGCGTCGTGCTCCTGTACACGGCCTCGCCGGGCGGGACGCTCCATGGCCCGGGCAACATGCACGTCCTCAACCGCGAAGAGCAAGAGAGCCAGATGGACATCGAGCGCGGCCGGCTCCAGCGGCTGCTTAGCACGACCATCTTCGTCTGTTTCTTCATCCTCTTTCTCGATGGCACGAACCGCAGCCAGCGCTTCGCCAAGAAGACGACGTCGCACCAAAACACGCAGGTGGCCTCCTCTCGCCGATGCGACAGCAGCTCACGCGTATGCTAGTGGCCGTACACGGACAATGACACGGAGCGTGCGATCCAAATCGCCTATTTCCAGCATCTCTTGGGCCTCGAGATGGCGGCCGTCGAGCCACTCGGCGTACGACGCTGCCTTCTGTCCTGCGCCTACTCATATCATTGCGGCATATGTAGCACATGAACAAGAGCGAGAACGTCTCGGGCATCTACTCGGGGGCTCTGGGCGCCGTTGCAGGCCGCCGACTACAAGACGCAAGCCGCGGCCAACGAAGTCGGGCGCCGCGTGCATCCCCA